TTGCAAGGCTTCCTGCTTGTGGTGGCTGAGCGCGTGACGCCTGGCTGCTCGCTACCTGGGGCGCGGCTCTCATCGGCTCGCCAGACCTCGCCTTCCATGCTGCGCAGATACTGGGCCGGGGTCTTGGGGAACCTCTGCAGTGACTTCTGCATGTATTTCTCCCGGATGCACAGGGCCCGGTAGAGGCCTCTGCAGACAATTTCAAAGTCCTCCACGGTGACCTGCAAAAGGGCTCTGCTGAGGGCACGGGCGTGTGCCGCTGTGGGGTCAGCCCGGCGCCGGAGACCTCGCCTTCCATGCTGCGCAGATACTGGGCCGGGGTCTTGGGGAACCTCTGCAGTGACTTCTGCATGTATTTCTCCCGGATGCACAGGGCCCGGTAGAGGCCTCTGCAGACAATTTCAAAGTCCTCCACGGTGACCTGCAAAAGGGCTCTGCTGAGGGCACGGGCGTGTGCCGCTGTGGGGTCAGCCCGGCGCCGGCGGGAGCTCGCAGCCTCGCGCCCTGTGCGTGTGCTGGAGAACAGCCGAGGCAAAGCCCCCATGCCTGGCAGCCGCTCTCCAAGCCCTGCCCTTTCGGCCTGGCTGACGCCGCATGGGGCAGTGCCGGGGCCAGGGCCAGGGCGAAAGGCTTTTGCTGAGGCAGAAGAAAAGCCCCAGAGGCCAGGAGAAGCCGTGAGGGGTCCCAGCTGCCTTGGACGCTGCAGCCCAGTGTGCCGCAGGGGCTATTTTAGGAGCCCGGCTGGTCCCACTTCAATTTCAGCACCAACACGGCTGATTTACTGCAAAGGCAAGTGTTGTGGTCAGGCCAGGTCATGAGCGAGCGGCAGGGTCAGGGACCGTCACCCAGCAGCTGCAGTGGCTGGCAGGGACCCTGGCGCGGGGGCAAGGCCAGAGCGGCCATCTCAGCGTCCTGCCCGGAGAGCCTGCAACCCACTCTGGCCTGGAATGGCCCCACCTTGCTGCTCGGCCCCCAGCTGCACCGGCACATGGTGGGGACCGAGGGAAAGGGGCCACTCCGCGACTCCACAGGCACAGCACAAGCTGAACCTGGGCCCGGCTGTACCACGCCAGGGTTGTGCAAGCAACTCACACGGTGACAGAGCTCGGGGCAGCCTCGCACCTGTGCCCCCTGCCCTGGGCCGGTGACTGGCTCGTTGCAGCTCTGGCTATGCAGACGTGTACCAAGGGGACTCAGCATCTGCTTCACCTGCCTCCCTCCAGCATCTCTTCTGCAGGGGCCACGCCGTCCCTGGGCTTCCCAGCCACCCCACAGAGCTTCTTTACCACGTCCAAGGGCTTGCGCCATGGGGCTCTCTCGGGAAGTAGCAGGCTGAGCGGGGGCACTGAAACAAGGGGCTCCCACGCGCTCCAGCCAGGGGGCGGCGAGCAGAGCGAGTGGTGGGGCGATGGGAGAGGGACACACCGGCACTCACCCCGGAGGCATAGTCCCCAGTGATCTGCACGCGCTGGAAGTCGGGCACGGCCTGGTACAGTGGCGAGGCCGCGATGAGCTCGTCAATGGTGGAGAGTTTGGTTGCAGAGTGTTCGGCCACGGGCAGAGCTAGCGCAATTGTCTTCAGGGAAAGCCGCTTCTTCCTGGGGAGTGGGGGAGGGAGCGGGACAACTCAGTCCAGCCAGCACCGCGGCCTGCCCTGCACTCGGCCACAGAGGGCTCCCCAGGGTTCCCAGGGAAATGCAAGGAGCAGCCCCACTCATTGCAGGAGGAGTAACGGTAGTTCAAATTAGAAAGCCTAATCCGAACTACCTACTCCGTGCTGCGTGTAGCCACGGGCATGGAGTCTGAACTACCGGGGCTTTAAAAATGGCGGCGCCCGGCAAGATGCAAATGAAGCCCAGGATATTTAAATCCCGGGCTTCATTTGCAACTTCGGTTGACTACATTAACCACCCTAGTTCGAACTAGGGGGGTAGCGTAGACATACCCATAGAGACTAACCAAAATGTATCTCTAGCGTCATGAGCTTTTGTGGGCAATCCCAGAGGCTATCTATATTTTTGTTAGTCTCTAAGATGCTACCGGACTGCTCGGCTTGATTGCAGGACAGGACACTCCAATGCCTCAGCCATTCCAGACACTGCCCGTCTCCCTGGGACAGCCATAAGAACATAAGAACGGCCGTACTGGGTCAGACCAAAGGTCCTTCTCGCCCAGTATCCTGTCTGCCAACAGTGGCCAGCACCAGGTGCCCCAGAAAGGGTGGACCGAAGACAATGATCAAGCGATTTGTCTCCTTCCATCCCTCTCCAGCCTCTGACAGACAAAGGCCAAGGACACCATTTTATCCCCTGGCTAATAGCCTTTTATGGACCTAACCTCCGTGAAATTATCTAGCTTCTCTTTAAAATCTATTATAGTCCTAGCCTTCACAGCCTCCTCTGGCAAGGAGTTCCACAGGTTGACTACACGCTGTGTGAAGAAGAACTTTCATTTATTAGTTGTAAACCTGCTACCCGTTAATTTCATTTGGTGTCCTCTAGTTCTTCTATTTAGGGAACTAATAAATAACTTTCCTTTATCGGCCCTCTCCACACCACTCATGATTTTATAGACCTCTATCATATCCCCCCTCAGTCTCCTCTTTTCTAAACTGAGCATCGCACGGGCAGAGGCTGCAGCACAAGCATTGATCCCACAAGCTTAGCTTGCCAGGGGCCAGAACCTCATGATGTTTCCAGCCATCGCAGGGCTTGCAACGGTTCCTGTGACACTAAGCCTAGATTATTGGCCCGACTGGCTGGCCCTGTGTCTACTTGCATGGCGCCTATAGTACAGTCTCTGAAGGCCTCATGGGGGTGTCTCCTCACAGCCCTGGTGTGGCAGGGCCGGGTAAGCTAAGTGACTGGCCCAAGGGCACCCAGGCATCTGCGGTGGAACCCAGACCAGGCCCCCAGTCTCAAGCCCCAACCCAGCTCCACCCTCTGCAAAGGCTCTGAGGAGCCGGGAAGCAGCCGCTCCGTGCTCCGGCTGGACAGACAGGCTGGACGGACAGATTCCGTCAGGGCTTTCCAATCCGTTCGCAGGGCGTGCCCAGCAATGGTTTTGTGGGCCGAGTCCTGCCCGGCACAGGCTCGGGGGCCACCCGACACCAGTGCCCACAGCAGAGCGCGGGGGCAGGCGGGCTGCCTGAGCATGCAGCACCTGCAGACAAACAGCACGAGCTGCCCAGCTGGGTTTCCACGGCCACAGCCTGGGCACTTTTGGGCAGACAGTGATCGGGCCAGACTGCCCCAGAGGGGTCCCTGAGACACTCCCAGGCCAGGGCCTGCAGCGGCAGGAGTGCTGGAGCAGGAGGAGCAGGCCCAGGGACACAGCAGGTGGCAGAGATGGGGCGCTTTCAGCCTGCCCCTCCCCGCACTGCCCCAGGCCTGCTTCCCGCCAGCCAGCTCTCACCGCTTGTCAGCCGCGGCTGTCGTCTCCTGGTGGATCATGTGCTCCCGCATCTCCCGGTGCAAGATGGGGCAGCTTTCTTCCACATCGAAAGGGGAGACCTCGTGCTTGCTGTCCTCATCCTTCACCTCCGAGGCAAAGACCTTCTCAGCGAAGGAGCGCATCATTTCATCCATCTCTGCAGGGACAAGGCACCCTGGTGACCTGGCCAGTCCACACCCTTAGCCCTTGTCGGCACCATACCCAGGGCTCCTCCAACCCAGCAAGACGAGGCCCTCTGCCCACCCGGCACAGCCAAGCTCAGCTCTTAGCTGCATCTACGGCCCCTTTGGCCTGCACCTCCTCTCCCAACAGGACTGTGCACCCCAGCACACCCAGCGCTTAGCACAAGGGAGCAAGCAACCAGCTGTTGTCTTGGTGCTAACGTCTCGGGGCCTGTCATGAGACTGGAGATGAGTCCTGACTTCACTCAGCTCCATGGGCAATGCTGGCTTGGGGCAGGCCTAGAGGAAGATTGGGGCCTGGAGGGGAAGGGTCAAGGCCAGGGCCCTGCGGGGGAGCAGGCAGGCAGGAGGACACACAACAGGGACCTGACTCTCCACCTGTCACTTCCGCACAGCACTCTGGGTGGATGGAGGCAGCAGAGGCTGGAGCTGCTCCCCAAGTGGGGAAGGGGGACAGGGCGGGGGCTATATACACTCCTGAAGGGCGTGGAGACAGTGACTAGGCAAGAGCTATTTACCTCATTGCATGACTCATGATCCGGGCACCTGTGGAACTCCTTCCCAGGGGCTGAGGTAAAAGCCAAGTGCAACTGGGTTAAAAACCCCAGAGTTCCTGGAGTGATCAATGGTGACAAGCCGAGATGTTCAGGGACTCAGCCCATGCTGGGAGAATATGTCTAGACTGCAGAGTTCCTCCAGGATACTGGAGGGAACCTGGAAAAACTCTGCCGCGGCCAAGGAACGTCTGCTTTTCTGAAAAAAATGCGGGAAACGCAGAGGCGGTTTTTCAGCATCCCTGTAAACCTTGTTTTACGAGGAAGAAGGGAATGTTCCAAACAGGGTTTTGTCCGTGCAGAGGGGCCAAATGTCGGAAAAGCCGCTTCCGAGAAAAGAATCGGAAAAAGAGACACGAATTGCGGGTCACAATGTGTGTATCTTTTTTTGGAAAACACCTGGCAGTGTAGACGTGGCCTGTGTCCTTCGGCCTCCGGCGACCAGGCTGGACTGGCCAGCATGGGATGGAGCATGTGCTAATTGCCCAGCTTCGTTCATTCCCTCTGATGCCTCCGGCACTGGCTCCGGTCAGACGGGCACTGGGCGAGATGGGCCAGCGGGCGGCCCCAGAGTGGCCATTGTGCTCCTGTTC